ACCTTTCCGCCACTGTCTTCCGGTCCCGCGGCCTCGCCTTCGGGTCTCCGCTCCGCAGCACCACAATCCTGCCCGGCGAGCTCAGCGTTCCCGGCGGGAGTCGCCACACAGGCTTGCCGCTCCCCTCCCTCTTCCTCCTCTCCCGGTCCCTCTCCGACTCCCTACCAGGCGCGTGCGGAACCAGCGACATCTTACTCTCCTTATTCCTCAGCGTCATCTTACTTGCCTTGGCAGCCAACGACCTCCCCTTCTTCTCTCCTCCAGACTCACCACCACCGCCCCCTGAAGAACACGAACCCGAAGTAGACGGCGCCGAGCTGGCATACAACTCCAACAAACTCTTCACGTACGCCTTATCCGCCCTCGCAATCGGATCCCCCTCATTCACAAACGTCAAGAACAAACTCTTCCTCAGCTCCGCCCTCTCAGGCCTCTTCAACGGCAACAAACTCACAGGCGGCGTCCCAAAGGTAACGCAATGCACCCTCTTGAAACACCCCGTCAACGCATTCAACTCGCTCCCGGCCCGGGGCGACGTAGACAACATATGCGCATACAACAAACTCGCCACCGCGCCGCCCGCAGAATGCCCCGTAATCAACAGACTATACGCCGCCCGCCCCGGGTCCTCCTCGAGCAACTGCCGCAGCCGCGCCGCGACGGGCTTCACCATCTTGCGCGCCACCGCCAAAAACCCGGCGTGGCACGAGTTCCCCGCGTCGTCGAGGAAGCCATCGGGGGTTGCCGGGGCGGTGTTGAGGTTGACGGCCCAGTCCATGAAGGTGGCGGAGCCGCGGATCGCAAAGACGATGGTGTTCATGTGGTCCATGGGGACGGACTTGATGACCATTGCTTTCGTGCCGGTTTTCCAGTCTGCTGAGACGTGGGCGTCGCGCTCGGCGCCTTTGGGGTGGTCGTAGACGCGTTCTGCGTATTGGGCGGCCATGCAGAGGAGGGGCCAGGTGGGCATGTATCTGGGATGTGTCAGTTCGTCTCCTCTCGTGAATCTTGAGTGATTTTAAGGACTTTTGTGCACTCACAGTCTCAGGGGCGGGAGGTTCATGGGCAGCTTCGAGTTGGCGTATAACTCGACTTTGGCAAAGTAACCCCCCGACACCACGCACGTCGCCACAGCCGCAGACTGGCCCTTTGAACCGGAGGAAGAAGTTTCTTTACTCTTCTTCCGCTGCCCGCTCTTCTCGCCTCTCCCTCCGCTTCCACCGCTCCTCTTCCCATCTCCCGACGGAGTGGTCTGCTGCACCGCGCCGCTTCCACCACCGCCATTCTGGTACGTGAACAAGGCCTTCTCGTTACCCACCATCCGGTCCCGATCAATTAGGGTCATAACGTCGTTGAAACAACCTGCAATCTGGTCGACGCACGCAGCGGTGGAGTTGATGAGTTGTGTGGCGTGCGGGTGGAAGTTTGGCTCCTCGAGGAAGTTGGGGGACGTAAAGTCCTTGGCGATGGTTACCACGGAGCCGGTGAACTTATCCAGGCCGATGGGGTGTCCGGTCGCAGTTGACGTCGTCGGTGGTCCGGTTGCGCCTGGCGGCGCTGGGAGGGCGAGGTGTGACGGTGGTGGGTGTAGGTAGTAGTGCTGGTTCACCACGATGGGTTGTTGTTGCTGAGGGTATTGCTGTGACCAGCCTTGAGGGCGATGAGGCTGCTGCTGTTGATGAGGATGCCGTGGTTGTGGATGACGATACGGAGGCGGGGGATGTTGGTATTGTCCCTGGCTACTCGGCTGAGGCTGCCAGTACGGCGGCGTCTGCGTCGTGGAGGTAGCATATGTTGAAGATTGTTGCGTAGGTGGATGTGGCGGTGCGTGATATTGGGAAGGGTTTATGTTTTGGTGGTGGTTATTCACCGGCATCGGTTTGACTGGTTCGGGGCCATGCTTGACGGCCTTTTTGCGGTCGAACCAGCCCATTGTGAAAGGAGCATTCAGGATACTTCAAAGTAGTCTCTGATATCCTCGTTTGTCGTTCTGCCTTTTGGGTGTTGCTGGACTGAAAATCGCGAATGGGATCTTCCCGTCTGCCCAGATTCGCGATCCTTGGCGTAGGCGTTGTTAAACTTTCTACCGGCAGCCAGTCTTCGAATAGTGCGGGAGCCAAGTCTAGCGCTCTGCACAAGAGTGGATTGGCAGGAACCAGGAAACAGGAAGGGAACTGCTCTTCTGTATCTCTTGGCTGGCTTGATAGGATTGAGTTCTCCCAGGCACGAGGAAACTCGTCGCCAAGAAACAATGAAGCGGTCTGGCTGGAGAACAGGTTCGTGTATGACAGGCGGGGAACACAGGAACAAGAAGTAAGGCGTCCCGGTTATCCTGTGTACCCAAGCGTTCGGTGTCGAGCGGGATCCTGCTTTTTCCCTCTCCGCCTTTTCGATGCTCGTTTTGCCTCGGTGTGTTTGAGCAAATGGGGATAATCACAAGTCAAAATCCGAGGCGAGTGACCTTGCGCAGCTGAATCCCGTCCCCAGAGCCGGTAGGTTGCGGACAAAGTGAGAAACCTTGTCTTCCAACCTGGGTGCCTAGACGAACAGGCGAGAAAGTGTGACGCGATATCTCCAGTCCTCCTTTAGTCGCTACTGAATTAGAAACGCCTGCGCCTGCTCTTTGGTAAAGCAGAGTGACACTAATTGTCCCGGCGTTTGCTACTGCGTGTGGCTATTGCTGTGTTCGGGGGCGGGCACTGGAATGCAATCCGTCGGTGCGATTTCGGTGGCGATCTGGCCGCGGCCGAGACGGTGGCTTAGACGGCCGCGGGGAGGGGGCCGGCAGAAACGGGATGGGAGGTGGAAGGGATAACCCTTCGCGAAGAGTACAGCTGAGGAAGAAGATGATATCAATCCTCCTGGAGTATATAGCAAACTCCGGACGAAGAATCGTCAGCCGCACACGATAAGCACAGACAAATGCAAAGAAATGGAAGACCAAGTGAAAGAGAGAAACGCGGATATCCTCCGATTCTTCTATTCATGTGACACACCATCAATGGGCGCCAGTTGAGCAAATCAAATCGTTAAAAAAGTCATGTGTCTCCTCTTAGAGCCCTCCTCTTCACCCTCTTTACCGACCACCGCTCACCTTTCCCGCCCCTAGATCGCGCCAGGTCCGAGAATCCCATGTCGAAGAGGGGGGCTCTCTACATGGCACCCTTAACCATTCTATCGTCTTTAATCATCATCTACTTCAAGTACTCCAACCATACAAACCACACCCAAAGAATACAGACTAAACAGTGAACCACCATCATCAACACAGGGACTACCCATATCCCCCCTTCTCCAATTGTCCCAACGGCGTCTCCCTCCCTTGAATAGCTTGAGTAGGCTTGAGTTCAACCCCCGTCTATCCAACCTGATTCGTCACCGCCCAACCAGTCCGCGCTCTCCCGTACAAGGGGACCTGCACACCAAGCGCAGCGACCCCTCCATGCCCTCCCACCCATCTCCAATGGGTGCGATACAAGTTCGAGCCCAGCCCAGGGTCCAATACTACATTATGGAACTATGGGCACTATGGCGAGTAAACTAACAGCCCTGACTCCGTCCTCGCATAGGCGATTACAGCCTACAGGCGCCTCCTCTACACGCCTGTGGAACTCGCCCGTTACACCTTGATTGGGAGAGGGTCAAAGCTCCCCTATGCATTTCAAACACAGCCCTCTCGGATGTCTCTGTAGGGAGCGGTGGTATTGGAGATGCACATGCAACACTGGACAAATCATGAGCCTCTGGCGTTTTTGAACAATCATGCTTAAGCATTTCATACGTCGAAAGGGAAAAAAAAGCATAGAGAGCCACTGACCGAGAGCCTGCGTTCAGGACTAGCACATACAGATAGATACATGGGTGCTGTCTAGAGTTCACTCCCAACCACCCAGCTATACAGACAGGTCCATGAACCGACCAATACTCGACAAGTCGCAAATCAGTTCCGAGGTATTTTTTGATTTATTTTCTTTCCCACTGCCTACATGCGCGTAGCCGCCCAGAAACGACGCTACCGCCTCTCAACCCCTCATTGCTCACAAACACCCTTGTATGCATTCTCTGTTTCCGTTGGTCGTACGGGTCCGTAGAGTACCACCAAACGCGCACATGGGATGTTTTTCTTGTCCATCATGGATCGCGAGATAAGTGCCCGGAAAAGTCTGTAGAGCATGTGATGGTGTATCAACAGGGGGAGAGGGATTGAACTCTGAAGCCATGGATCGTCGTGACTCGTTGACTGTAAGTTTGACGGTGAGCCACCGTAACAACTTTCTCTCCCATCATGCCCATTGATCATGTTGCCGTGAACTGAACAATTGATGACAATAGCCTTAGTGGGAGACGGGGGGGGGGGGGGGGCAGTGAGCGTCAAAACTCATCCAGATGCGCACTTCCTTTTACGCCCACCACCACAACCATCACATCCATCGACATTTATTCTGCATTTGTATGTTATAAAACTTGGATATTGAAGCCGTATTTTTTAAAACATTAATTGGCCACTATTCGTAGTCAGAGAAGTGGTAGGGAATAATGGCCGGATGTTTGGAGGGGGGAGGGGTTTCTTTCTCCCACGTCACTTACCTAGGGGGTGCTCCCGACTCAAAACTTTGCTGTTCTACCTACACTGCGCAGGTGAATGAACGATCCATGCGTTTTCCTCAAACTAGGTACCTGGCACATGGTGAAGCAAATAGCTATGGTGATTCTATCGAAACATGAGTAACGCTCCAACACCTCATCAATCATTTACCAACACAAAACAAAGTCATCTTAGACATGTGCAAACATGTATAAAACATCCCTCAAGAAGGAGTGGCTCAACATACAACAAGCTTTGGAGTTCGTGAACCCACCATTCTAGCCCATATAAAGCATCTCTCTACTCTGAAGACCTGTGTGCCTTTACAAACCCAGCCACCAAAGGGTCAGGCCAAACACCCTGCCTCAACTGCTTCCCAACTGCCGAGAGGGGGGGCAGGGAATCGATAACCCCCTCAAGCCAAGAGATTGGGACGAACGGGTGCGGGCAGACGAGCAATCCAGAAAACCCCGAGTATCCCAGAACCGAGCACCGGCACCGGCGCCGCGCCGCCGACGCCCTTCCCGGCCATAGTTTCTAGGCACGCGGCGACCCGACGTGCCTGCAGCAATCCATAAACCTTGTTTTTCCCAATACATGTGGTTATCATATCTTATCGTCGACTACGGATAGCGCAAGGCAGGTAAGGTACTTAAGGTAACTTTCATAGGCATCTTATCATAAAGTCAGGTAGTCATGTCATCCTCACCATAGACATCACAAGGACCATGTCAAAAGACAGATAATCTAAACAAAGGCACAACTTTTTTTTTAGTCTTCATTTCGCCAGACGAAATCGCTACGGACATGTAGTCCACCTATCCACAGACTAAACCTCGACATAAGCACAGCCCTCCAACTCAGAGGAGGGAAGACTAATGGCATGAGGACAAGGTCCACCAACAAGTGGTTGACTAGACAGCCCAGCAAGAAACTTGTCTCGACTCGAAAGACCCTTCGAAAGTTGACCACCAAAAAACAAGACACAATTCCCGATGAAAACAGACACATCTCAGACCGGACTTTGAGGATCCCGCATGCTTCCGCTGCCGCTAGCGCTTCCACTATGAACGCTGCTGCCGCCAGAGCCTGACCCAGCGCCGTCGCTCCGTTGACGTCGCGTGAAAGCAAACGTGACGGGCGTGCGCTGAGCCATGGGCTGCTGCGCAGGCGTGTTATGGAGCGACAAGAACTCGTCGTCGCCGTTGCTAGACTGCGTGAACCCAGACACATCGCTAAGCATCGAGGAGGAGCGGCCCCTAGCCTTGAGAGAGACAGTGCTCTGGTGCGTAGGCGGATAACCCCACACAGGCTGCATAGAGGACGCTGGCAGCGGCAACACAGAACCAGACGCGGTCATGGTGGATGTGGGCCACATAGACCCGGCAGGCATCACATACTGCGATGCGGCGGCGGACGGTGGTGTCCAGGCTGGCGCGGCGGGATTGTAGGCGGATGACGTGGTCTGAGGCTGGGCGGAATGACGTTCGGGAAGATCATAGGGCATCGCGGCAGTCGTGGCGTAGTTCATATGCTCATGGTATGCCTGGAGCTGCTGTAGCAAAGCGTTGACTTGCTCCTGCTTGTTCGCGTTGGCTGCCTTAATATCCGCAATGCTGCCCCGGAAGTTGTTCTCAATCGTCGATGTCTCCGCTTGCCAGGCGATGCGGGCCTGGCGCCTACGCTCGGCCTCGTCCAGCCCACGATTGTTAGCATCCGTGATTCTGCCCAGCTCGGTGTCCACTTTGGCGATGCGTGCTGCAATCTTGTTCCTCTTGGTCTGCGCGGCAGCCTGCTCGTCCTCCTTGGCCTTCACAGCCTTGGCGATGGCGGCCTTGTAGTCTTTGTATTCTTTGGAGGCGGTATCGAAGATGGCCTTTTCGGCAGCCCACTCCTTTTCCGTCTGTTTCTTACGCTCGTAGAATCCCTCAGGTGCTTTCTCAAACTCCTTGAGCTCTGCTTCGAGTTGGGCAATCTCCTTTTCGGATTGGGCTTTGTTGGTCTCTTGCTGGATAATCTTCTGCCTGTGCTTGTCGTCGTTGCCACCTGCGGTCTGAATCACATTGTCGAGTCTCTCGTTCTCTTTCCGTAGCGCGGCAATCTTGTTCTTCCACTCCTTGCGTAGCGTCTTCAGCCTAGACTTCTCCTCCGCCAGCCGCTCGTTGTTCGCGTTGATTGTGCTCTTCAGCGTCGTCGCGGGCGAGTCGGGGCGGAGAGACTGTGGCGTGCTGACGGGCGGGTTGACGGAGCCCTCTTGGTCCTTGTTGGGCGCAAAGGAGGTTCGGATGCTGGTGGAAAAGACGACTCGGTTCGTGCGTGTATCGACAAACTCGCAGACGTACTTGGACAGCGGCCGCAGTCCGTAAATATCACCGCACCAACGGTGTTGGCTGGATTGCTCGTCTTGGTCGTCGTCCTGGATGCGGAAGATACGTGTCGGCTGCCAGAAGGCGTTGTTTACCCGGACGTAGAAAGGTTTTGAAGTGTCGACTCCTGCCGGCCGCGAAACGTGCCCATTCGGAGCAACGCTCGGGCTGTCAGGAAAGTAGCTGGTGTTGAAGCAAACCTCATCGTGGCCAATATACGATATCCAAATCTGTTCGGCCTGACTGTCAAAGGGGGCATTCCCCAAGTTGTGAATGTCGGTGGCATTGGAACCGGCTGACTCGGAAGTAGCGTGCGATAATTCGTACTCCTTAACCATGACAATTTTGGTGCTCGCTAGGGCGGCCCACAACGGCTGCTGAAGACGCACCTGTGTGCTTTGTTTTCTCTTCTTTTTCGTAGATGATACTGTCGCATTTTGTTGGAAAGTCGTGTCGCTGTCTGGCGTAGCAAACCCCGTGTCGGTGGTCGTCTCGTTCGAGTACGACTTACCGGCCTCCGGGTCCGTTATGCTGTGTGTCGACGGACTTCCCTTTTCTCTTCTCAAATACCACTCTCTTATGTACCTCACTATGCCCTGCGTTAGAATATGTATGGCAAGCACGCTCTTGATCCACCCGTGCGGTCCTCTCTTATCGAAACCGCGCGTAAATGTTTCTAACGGATCGTCGGAGTCGGGGGAGAACCGCCAATTGGCTGGGAGGAACTTTGTTGCCCGGGTCCAGTGAAATCTTGAACCGCGCAGAAGATGCGAGCCTATGACCAGGAAGAAGCAGGTAGTGACGCTCCTTGACGCTCCCTCCCTCGTGTTGGATCCACCACCCAAAGTGGCGGCGATGACGGGCTTTGCAAAGTCAAGGATGGCGAGCTGCATGGGCGGCCACAGAAAGAGCCACACGAGCAGTATAAAGACATCCATGCAGAGCACCGTAACGAGGGAGGGCATGGTGGAGTTGTAGTCAAAGATCTCGGCGAGATTGATGTTCATTCCAGAGCTCGTAGTAACAGGGGGCACAAAGGTGAGGAAGGTGAAGACCATGTAGATACCGGAGAGGGCGACGGGAGGGACCTGCATGAGCAGGATGAGGATGGCAAGGGTGTCGTAGAGAGGCAGTGCCCTCAGGACGGTAGCGGCGAACTCGATAGGGCCACCAGGGTCGCGATGGACGTCGGCGTTCTTGGTGGCGTTGACATCAATCTGGCGGTGGCTCGCGTCAGCAGCACCATTGCCCATGGCGGAGGAGAGCGAGTCGGACGAGGAAGTCTCGGAGCAACCGCCTAACGAGGGCCGCCTGGTAGCGGCATGGCCATTCCGGTGTTCAGGGGCCATGATGTTGCCGTTGTGGTCGGAAGCGGGCGCAGCGAGGTTCGGGGTCTTGAGGTGTCCGTTGGAAGTGCCGTTGGGCAAAGGCGAGGGGAGAGCCGGGGCAGCAGCATTCTGGTCAGAGGATGTCCTAGCTGAAGCGTCGAGGTTCGACTGGCTCTTCTTGTTGGCAACTCGCTTGGCGGGGCCTACAAGACCATTTTCGTGCCTGGTGTCGCGTTGGTTGGCGGCGCCTTGCTGTCGCTTCGCAGAGCTGGAAGCACGAGGCATGCGCTAGGAGGATATCTGCTGTCCGCCGACCCGGGAGCCCTTTCAGAGGCAGGTCGGGGGGCGCCAGCAGCACGACTTGAACTGGTCTGGATGCTGGAGGAGGGGAAGAGGCGAGGGAGCGATATCCCGCCCTCGAGAGCGATCGGGACGAATGTGGCGTGGGCGAGGTCGAAGATGACGGAGGGAGAGAGAGAAAGAGAGAAAGGCGACTATGCACTCGACGCAAAGGAGAGCGCAAAGACGTAGATATTCGGAGGATTGCCGTGGGGCCTCATGCGTAGTGGCTCACGGCAGCAAGTCGGAAGAGGAGGGGAACCGAAGGAGGGTGGGTAGGTGGGTGGTTGAGGTTCCAGAGAGGCGGCACGGTGATAATGATGGTTGAGTTGTTGTTTTTTCCGAACCTTGGAACGGGGGGAAGGTTTGTGTGGTGGTGGTAAAGTAAAGTGTTGCCCAGATTACTCGCGTCGGGAAAGGTTCGGTAGGTGGGTTGAAAGAGCAGCGATGCAAAGTACCTAGGTGGTGCTCACGTCCTGTACTGTGTAGGTAGGCACGTAGGGAAGGAAAGGTACCGATGGAAGGAAACAGGGGGCTACTTGGGAAGAGGAAAAAACCAAGGCAAAGCCGCAATATAGTGTGGAAGGCGCTGTGGTGCTCGGGTACCTTCCAAGTTTATTCGCAGCCTTCGGTAAGCCCACAAGACACTTCGGTACCTTGGTCACTTAGGTAAGGTACCGGGGGACAGACAGACAAAGAAGGACCTGACCTGACCTGAGTTGGCAAGGGCGGCACGAGTTCGGGTAAGAGCCGAGAAATGGGGATGAACTGAGGCGTCAAAGAATTAAAAGTCAGTGGAAGAAAGCCCTCTCTTTCCTCCCCCATTCGTCTCCGTGTACTCCGTATTTATAAGGTGGCTGTATTTCCGAGTAAGATAGTATGCCCGCCCGTACAATTACAGCAGCAACACATCCAATTTGTTGTCCGTGAAGAGGAATTTGTGGTGTGTTGGTCTCTTTTACTTTATTTTTTATTTCTAGGTTTTGAGCACTCCCCTTCCCCTCTGCAGCAGCCAGTCCCGGTGGTGTTAGGGGCAGAGCGCCTCGCTTCGAGTTTATTTTAAAAAAGACTGCGCGGGAACAGCACGAGAGCAGGGATGACGGATGGTGCGGGAAAGGATCCAGTCGCACTGTTTCGACTTGGGTGGGTGGACGGGTACGTAACTCCTTGTCGATACGTATCCGAGGACTGCTTTACATTTTTCACTTGGTATTTTTTTCTTGTGTTCCTTTCACTTTTCTCGCTGTTCCTCCCGGTCTGATGAGGTGTGGGGAGGTACTTTGGCTCAAGTCCCCTTCAAGTGGGGTCCTGACTAGATCAATCCGTCCCCAGGAGCTATTTCATTGGTTCACGACTTCCAGTGTGGAGATAGGGTCCCTTCTTCCCTGACCCACTCATGACTCTTCTCCACCCTCTCCTCGACCCCCCCGATCAGAATCAGAATCAGGATCTCGGATCTGGACCTGGGCAGTACTTGTGACTCGGTCAAATTATGTCTAGCTCAACGGGCAATTTCCTTTCATGCTCTTGTACATTGGGGTACCCCCGACCGAGGCAAGCCGCAGTTGCCAGCGCCGGGATGGATCATGGAGGCCGATTCAAGGTTGCTGATGGGATGAGATGCCGTTGGCGGTCACGCAGTTCTGCAGCCCTTTGGATTCTGGGGCCGCCGCCAAAAAAGTAAGATTACAGGGGGCCACCGGTGCTGAAGCTGCTAAACCAGTGATGACTGAGTGCTGGATGACGAGTTCACGACATGCAGCATGCAGTGATGCACCCTCGGCCTGGCTTGATAAAGGCGTTGTTCGGACAGGGTCCAGAAGCTTTTTTGTTCGTGATGTGTTGTTCATGATGTGGATTGACTATGGAACGGGGCATTCGTATGGAAATGCATTCGCATACTGAGGTTACTTTACCTACCTACCATAAGAACGGTATGCAGGTAGGTAGGTAGTCGTAAACAGGGCTGGCCAAGCACGGGAGATGCAGCGCATTGCATAGCTGCTGCTCCAGCCTCCAGCTCCCAGGGCCTGGCACAGGATGAATCCCCAGACGGAACGGAAAACACGCAAGCAAGGCAAGAAATCGTGTCCTGCATTACCTGACATGGCGGCATCGTGCTGGGATATCAATGTAAGGTATTTCTATCCGTAGTTTTGTTCCATCATGCCTTCCGCCCCTTCCGTGCTTCGCTGCTCACTGTTCAGACCAAGTATCGTATAAGTCGAGGAACCTGACGTAGGTACCTTAGACACAGGCAGGAGGGTACCTAGGTTCCTTCCACTGAATACATAGAGAAGTTGAGAACCTAGGTAAGGGATAGACATTGAGTAGGTACCAAAGGCAAGGTACCTGGGCACGCAGAGAAAAGGAAGGTATCGTGGTCGTGTGCCTTCTCAACTTCGTGCAAGTACCTACCTCACTCAGGAGACTACCTTACCAATGTCAATTGCTTCCTTCCATACCTCATGTGCGGTGTGAGGTTGGGAAGGTGGTGCTCCCCTCTGTGCTGCGCGCCTCCTTCCCATAGAACAATCGTCATATCCCAACTCTAAATTCCTTTCTTCATTTTACTCTTCCCAAGTCGCCAGGTCTTCTCCCCAATCATTCCAAACATCAACCATCCCTTACACAGTATTCGTACGGATACCAGTGAACGATACATTTCTCTCTTCTTCGACATCCCCGTCATATTCAGCGCCCCTGACCACCACCCGCCACTACGAGCCTAAGTACGACAGCGCCGTCGCTGGACTCACTGGAACGTCCTTCTTCTTTCGTCCCTAGTTCGGTCACTCGTCGTCTTTTCTTCGTCTTGTCCACGGCTTCTGTCATCGACCGTTGTCCATGCTGTCACTCGTCCACAACACCCATCATCGCTGTTCGCATGACGACCCGGCTCAGCTGGAATCTTTGGGAACATACCTGGGGACGTAATGAAAGAAGAGACTGGATGATATCCGTACCGCCTCTGCCTGATCATTACACCTAACTCTGTCCCTCCCAGGCCGTTCATTGCTCCCGTTCACCGACCTTGAGGTAGCACAATACATGCCCTTGAAGGCACTCACGCATCGACGCATAAATCAAGTAATAAGTAATGGCACTTACGTCGGATACTCATGCCGCCAAAGCGATATTCAGAGCCAGCATCGGGGCTACTGCCAATGGCCCGGTTGAGCTGCGCTGAACGCCCATCCCGCACTCTCTACCACATGTGCCTGGTTTCTTTCCCTCCAAAGCAAGCTATGCTGGTACTCCGTACACAGCACTATCCACTAGTACCGACACACAGTCATTGTCAGGCCGGGCCTTATTGTCTGCAGGCTGTCTGGGCGGTGGACGATCTCCTCGTGCTCGTCATCCCACATGTCGACGCAACTTGGCCATCACGCAGTACTTAGCACCTTGGAACACGACACGATAGGATGGACCACCAGTGTGTGTACTACCTCCCGCCTTCCTTGTCACCTCGAGACTAGGCTCTCCCCGCTCTTGCAGACCACCCCCGCGCACTCAAAATTTCTTATCGCTTTCCCAGCGAGCCACGAGGACATCTCAAAGACAACCATCGCCTGTCCGCCCCGGCCGAAGCTCGACATCATTCACCAATCCTCGCTTGCCAGAGCCCGTTCCCCAGGCGCACACCGACGATCGTCAAAGTATGCTCCACATCACGCTACGCTATTCCGACGGAAATATATTCGCCTCAAGGGCTACCATTTCGGCCTCCCCCTTGAAGGGGCACGATGCCACCCACGCATCCACGGTTCCGTCCACCACCAACCGCCAGCCGCACAACGTGCTTCCCGTTCTCTGGTGCCCACTGTGTGTTAAATGTACCTGTATAAGTCTCCTCCGACGCTCGGTGGCCTGACGTTCCACGATCACCATCTTGACGCCGGCAATCGGGGCACAACTTCACAAGTCGAAACGCTCTTCGGTGAGGCACCAAGCACGAGGCACGAAAACGTGGGGACGAAACCAAGGAACCTGGCAAGACGAGAGTGCCTTGACCCCTTGGACCCCTCGCACAGTGAAAAGCATCACGGGCGGACGACAAATCCAGCGCTAGCCCTCCAGAGCGAGCGTAACCAAAATCACCAAACACCACCACCACCTCACGGGCCAGCGTCCAATTTCAGGGCAGCCATGGATCAGGGCAACGATACCACCAAGCCAGAGGACAAGTCGACGGGACAGGAGCATCGTGGGTGGAGCTTCTGCTCGGCCGCGACTCGACGGCGGAAGACTGAGACTCGTATGCAGCAATGTATATCCGTCTCGTTATGTCTCGTGGTTGACAACGCACCATCACATTACACTCGCACTGCACTCTTACTTTGGCTCACATTCAGTAGTGCAATGATTTCTGCGGAACGTGCAGCATCTCATTGCCTTCATCCTGGCACGAATGGCAACAGACTTTTGGGAGGGCAGATTTCCCATGTCGATCATCAACTAGTCGAGGAATGTCGCATGCGTAGCTTTCTGGGCACTGCACCAACCACAGCATCGTTAAGGCGGCATTCGCTCGAGCCAATTCCTCCTCAGATCCAGCATGATGTGACATGACGGGGCCAGCTTGACACGCTGACAGCCTACAGAGTACTGTACGGGCACGTACCGGTACAGGCACAACGCTTTGCACGCGACTGACGAGTCTCAACAGCGACTGGCAATGACTACGAATACTGCTGATGGCTGGACACGGCTGTGGTCCGGAGATCCGCATCGCTGTTTTCGACCCTGTCGCAGGCCCTAGACAAAGTGGTCCTGTCCTCGCAGGCGCCCATGTCTTTGTCGCCTTTGCCCGGCTGTCGACGATCTCCTTTTGATTCGAAACATAACAAAGCCATTTCTGGAAATAACCTAGACAGTGCGCGTCGGCCATCCCTCCTCTCCGCTGCCAATCACCCTATGGTCTCTCCGAAAGAGCCGGCGAGGTAGTGAACGGCCGCCGACCGCTGACCGCTGACCGCTTCCGATGACTTAGTTGAGCCCCTCCATTGAGCCAACATCAAATCTACATCCGGCCTCAAATGAACCCGCGGGGTGGACAAGACGGGGTGGACGACGGGGTTGCAAAAGTGTCAACGGGGCATATCCGTACTATTATGGACAGGAGAGAGAATTTGGCAACTCTTACGGCGCTTCCACCTTTATCGATAATCAGCTTGCAGGGTCAAGCTTTTCTTGCCGCCATCTCCACCCGTTTAGCTAATTATCCTCCGATCGAGATGACAGGTATCCCACCCGGAAAAGGAGGAGGGACAAAATCGAAAGGAGCAAGACAGTGCGGCAATGCAACCACATCCTGGACCGTCGTCAGGCGTATTCAACCTGCTCGACAAGTCACGACAGAGATAATTGGAAAATACTACCTGTGATGGTGGTGAACCCCCACATGGCCCCCCAGGTCTTGAGCATAAACGGCGAGGAACAAGAGGGAGCTAGGCGCAGAGAGGTAAAGCAAGTCGATCTGCCTGTCGGCATTTGGCTGCTACCAGCGGCGCGCCTTGCTGCCAGATTGCCTCCCATGTCACAGCCGGTGCACTTCAAGTGGACTGCTGACTCGGGATGCCGTGGAGAGCAATTTGCAGTCGAATCACCTGATTCGTGGTGCCGTACAGAAATTCTTCAAAGAGTCAGTGACCAAGCGTGGGTTGCGGGTGTCCTCACCAGGACTTTGTATCACTATTAGTGCCTGACGATGGTAGGACTTTGAGGACGAGGGGAGAGTTGGAGGGAGAAGAAGAAGAAGCGATGTTACGGCACTTTTCCCACAGTCTCACTCATTCTCTGCCGCTGCAGCAGCCATACTTCACCATTCGATCTCGACTGCAGCGAGAGACTTGATGGGACAATGACCTCTCCAATCATGGATAGCGAGGAGATACGACTAGCACCCCGTCAACTGATCTAGCATCGAGACTAAAAGCCCCGGGAATAAGCTTCAAGACGCCAGCCTTCCTGCAGCACAAGCTACGGCACGCCTCTCATGCAGCCCCAGGCCCCAAATCACCTCAACACGCAGCACTGCAGCACCACAGCAGCTCACCTCAATCACCACCGCAGCCTCCAGAGCTTACACTTGCAAAATCGCGGCTCCTCCCCCTCCATCTCGACGAGGGAAAAAGACTTGGCGGCCCATGATCCGGTCGCGAGCTGATTGGTGCCCTGCAGACCGTTATATTTCTGCGGCTGCTTAGCGGGGTCGATTTCCCTCTCGCCGATGTCCTTTCGCACTGTGGTGCTGACTCTGAAGGCGGTCTGCAGGCTGTGGCACCGCTCTGCCATCTGGTCGTATGGGTACGGATATACACAACGAGAATACCCATGTACGGATGCGTGAGGCGACACAACGTAATAGCGCAAGGGCGGCTCCGTGCGATGCGGATCTCCCGGTGGGCTCTCTGCGCCGCCCCTCTCGGAGCGAATTTGAATTTGAATTTTCCAGCGGCGGACACTGGACGCGAGGCCAGCCGGTGCGCCGTATACGTCTGGAAAGATAATTTTGAGAAATTTTTTTACGGAGCGAATTTCCATGGAGCCTCTGATGCTCTTTTCCAGAGCCTGTGCCGCCGAGAAGACTCCGTGACGCTACATGCGTATGGAGCAGGACGGACAACGGTTATTGATGCCTTGACATGGAGCCCAGTGGCACCATTGTCCTTGACAGTGAAGAGTCCTTTTCAGCCGTTCCAATCACTGGTCTCCAGGTCACATGTCAACCCGACCGCATCGATTCATTTTTACGCGCTCAACCCGTGCCAGCATTTCTGCAATGCATGCACCAAGATGAGATTTGGCACATGATCAGGGGTTTTTAGGATCACGGCGTCGAGTAGTTGCGCGCTGTACCTTTCTGAGTCTCTATCTCAATGACTGGTATTTACCAGGGGCCGATGCTAGGGATATCTTCCGGCGGCGTGCTTTCTATCGTCTATTCGGCAGACACTTGAGTACCTCTTGCGTCGCCCGTAGGGTCGAATGGCCTCAAGCTCTCTTCAGCCATCAAGCTGTCGCCCGTCATCTTGTCTAGCGGAGGGGCACGCTCAAATGGCGGGGTCAATTTCCTCTACAAGAGGACCGCTTTCGCCTCGACTCGCCTATGACTGATCAAATTGAACCAAAATCCATGCGTCTTCTCGCCTCGCTCGACTTACACGAGCGACTCTCGCTCTTTCCGTCTCGGGTTTCCGGCTCGACCACGGATTTTGCTCGCGTCTTTGGTCCGATGGCGATAGTACCCAGTGCCGTGAGAAGGATTTGTGCACTCATACTCATATCTCGTTAGGGCGCGGCGCTGCCAAAGTCCTCCTTGGCGTCTGGTCTTCTCCATGTACCCAGTTCCAGGTTGATGACCATTTTCGCGATATGTCTTGCATGTCCATCTGCGGCGTTTCGCTCCGCGTCGGTGCTGGTCAACTCAGCCACCCGCTTCAGTTCACGGCTGAGCCAGGGCAGCCCTTCTCTGTCATGAGTGCAGATCTTCAGATGCATGTTCAAGTCTGCTATCTTGGTGAAGTGCTTGTGTGAATAGATTACAACCTTGAAACGGAAGGTGGACTTTTCTTCGTGATCGTTTGACAGCAACCTTGTGTAGGCGCTGATAACTTGCGGCTCGAGCGAGAGTGTCTAGTAGGGAAGGCTCATCAGCACATGCATCCTTGAGGGACGAGGGGCGGGGGGCGCAAAAGAGACTGTGATGTTGTGGACATACCGGAGAGGCGCGGGTTTGCGGTGGCGATTTGTTTTGGCAGTGCATGGTTGTCAGTGTCTCATTGAAGGTTTGGCTGTCGCGAAGACGCTCCCACTCTAATCTATCTTGAGGATCTGCCGTCTCGAGAACGCGGTCCAGAAAACGGGCGATTGACTGCTCAGCGACTTGGGTCAAGGTAGACGCTTGAGATATACCCTACGAGAGCAAACGGGAACAACAGTCAGTGGCGCTGTTGATACAAGTTGGTCACACGAGACCAAGATCGGGACCAGGACTGGCACTGGCGCTGGCGCTGGCACTGCTTAGCGCAGACGGCGGATCAAAGACTCACCAGCCATGGACGATGACTCGGCTCGCCATCTCGCAGTCGGACAGTGTACGCCGAGTTCTTGGGGTCGTAGATGCCCTGCGAGACTGCGTGGAGATTACGCCATTCGTCGTTGATGGTTCTCAGGAGACTGGCCGCGCGTTGGGTCTGGTCTGGGTCGCAGCCAAAGGCGAGGCATTTCCCGATGCGCTTGTAGAGTTCTCGCGGGCTGAGCGAGATTGTGTTTGCGAGTTGCGTGTTGTTAGAGTATAGGGGCCATTTGCGGCCGGCCTTTGGGGGAGCTTTGGCGGCTTTGGAGACGGCGGCGGCGGCGGCGGGCTTTGCTTCGCGGGAGTATTCTGAGACTACGCGGGATAGCATTGACTGTTGGAGCCGCGTTGTTGTGGACCTCATTTTTGGGAGAGGCTTGCTCTGACGAGCGGGATGCGTGAGGTGTGTTGGGATCGAGGTCGGGGTCGGGAATCGGGAGTCGAGGTGCGACGTGCGAGGGTGAGGGTATCAAGGTTAGGTTTCGGTGTCGCTTTTCTGAAGGTGCCGTGTCCTCCACCAGATAGATGGCGACGTGAGGGAGAAAAGAGTGTTAAGAGATGGCCGGCCTCAAGCTCCCAATGTCCCGCGGGTTTCGAATGGCGAGGTTGAAGATGCGGCGCGGCGCAGTTCGGCCTCGTGGGTTGAGCTGGGGGAACGAACAGGTGGGATGAGGTTGAAAGTTCCAACCAATCACGAGAGCTGTTGGAGCTTGGTGGTGGGGATGGCACCTGGGGGGGGTCTTACATCATCTCGCCGAGGTCTGAGGCCATTGGAGCGAACTGTCGACCTCATCGACGACGACCTGGCGCGCCATGAGCGGGAGATGCGATAATTGACGGGACTGCGCCATCTCTTTATACCATCATTTACAACGACGATATTTAAAGACTGTCACTCTCTGAGACTTCGCAAGCTGCTCCGACAGTTGTTCAAAGAAGAGGATGAGCGTCGTGAATACCGAGTTGCGGAGGCGGGTCATTGCCATTTACAAGGGTAAGTTGAGAGTCTTTCCAGTATTGTTGTTCGTCTTACTCTGAATGGGAGCATCGCACTTGTTCAATCGAGCTGTACCACGTAGCCTCGAGGTTGCCCGGTGAGACAAGTTGCTGAGATGTTTGACTGCTCTTGTCAACATAACTTGTTGTGAAGACAAAACCTGCGCTTTTCTAAACGTCTGTCGCTGGCGCATCCTTACTCTACGACAGATACTTGTCGTCCTGAGACTGATGATCCGGTTGAATTTCGTCAAGTCGACTGACCACAGCACGACCAAACCCAGAGCTCTCTCTTTTCCAACACATCTTTTTGCCCCTCCCTCACCCTCTCTCTATTCACTGCCTCCCTCTACAATATCCGCTCACCTTCCATCCGTCAACCATTATGCCTGGGCTCATACTGCAGCCTCACCTCAAGATGAACCCAACAGACAAAAATGACTAACCATGGAGAATAGAACTCCTCTACTTGGGCCGAGAATACCCCCTCGGCTACGATTACTTCCGCCCCCGCCTGCACAAGGCGTTTTCCGCGAATGCTGCGCTGCGGGATGAGGAGGCTATTCGAAGGGGGATCGAGAGGGCCGAGTTTGTGAAGAAGGGTACGTTGTCTTCCTGTCTTTCTTTCTTTATGTCTTTCTCTGGGTTTGGGGTTCCTTTTCACCAGTTGGATGGCGTGTCCTTCGTCCGTGGACAGGGCAAGGTGAGATCTATGGATGCTCGGTTGACATCAGGCTCTATGACCGCGCGTGGTCGATTCCAAAGTTGGAGTTGGTTTCGTGGACATTTCGTCTTTGCTTTGGGGGCACGCCTCCCCCCTCCTCAACTGACTCCGCTGCATCTCGATGTTGGTCGTTTCCCAAGTTCTGTCTCCACGTTGGAGGCGAGTGTGTCTCGTGGTGCACCAGCATGAGTCTCGATATACTATATGCGCCTCAAAGTCCCCAATCTCAGCCATCTAAACCGGATGCCGCTCTCTTCCGGGCGTGGGAAGTGCTCTCCATGAAGTACTTACCGTCTAGTGCGACTGCATCTAGTTCTGGGCAACTTTCATCCTTTGCCCAACTGCGTTTGTTCCATGCTAGACTTTCCAAAGTGGACAACATCGCTTTACTCCCCCAACTCTGTCAGAGTCATGACCTTCCATCATTCCCGTCATGCACTCACCCTTTGTATCTCATCCCTTTTTCCTCCCCATTCTATTCTCTCAATGACCGAATGGGACGCAATAACATCAGACTTTATACCAACGAATAGAATCAAACAGCTGACTTGAATCCCTCACAGAAATCGAAGCATTGTAAGTCAGCCCAATGCCTCTCACCTGCGCTTTCCAAAAAAGCCACCGTCTGCGTCCACGTCCATCCAACTTCGCAACCTCGTCTCCCCAAGTACACATTATCACTTCATGACAAGCCCCTCTTTCTCCTATCAAACACGCCCGAAAGCGATGTACCTTACCTCGACCCGGGCCTCGGAAAACAAGTGTAACTAAGGCTATGGGAGAACCAATGTCACTAGTCCTTGAGAGTTGAATACTCTTCAACAGCACGTACGCTGTTCAACGCGTCCCCCTTTCAAGCCATCCCGCCGTACCTCCCCCTCCCCCTCCCCCCTCCAACACCCAAACCGAGTCCTTCCTCAGGCGTGTTTCCTAACAGAGTAAGTGCGTTTTGCTAGGCGCGACTTACACGGTCAAAGTCAGTCTTCCATACATCCTCTATCCTCCTTCCTCACCCCCCCTCTCCCCAGAAAATAAAAATAAAAAAACAGAGGGCATGATTCGCTACCGCAGCATGCAACGGGTGACGACGCCACAGTTGGCAACACCAGAACGCCCAAAAAGAAGAAGAGAAAATTTGCCCTGCCTCTTCACATCCTCAACCTTACTCGAGACCTTGTCTAAGCCCCTGATTCGATCACACTCTACAATGACATACCATCCAAACCACTCTTACCAAGTCGGTCCTTGTCCCCCCTCCATCCTCACATCCAACTCATCCAACTCACCTCCCACTTCCCTTACCAATGGTCGTACAAGTCAATTCGAGATGTTAATCGACTGGCGATGCCCCTTCACGGCGAGGCAAGTCGCCTCCGTCGAGTGCCCGCATGGCTTTCATGTAAAACCCATCACCCTCTTCCGAATGCCAAGTCACTCCATGCATTCAAGGTTACAGCATATGCTTCTCCAGTGCGCCATAATCCCCCGCATTACTCTCCATTTTCAGCATCGTCACTTTGAGGCACACAACACAGCATAAGAAAGCATATTGGGGGGGAGATATAGGTATTGTATAGTAATGGTAAACGATGTGATAGGATATGTAGGTGTATATGTAGATGATGTGGTAGTAGATGACGACGATGATGATGTTGACGATGGGGTATCTCGATGAACTGGATCTCTGACCTTTCCCCCCTATTCCTTCCTTCCTCCCTTCCCCCTTTCCATCCTTTCCTGCCTTGTCCCTTTTTTCGCCGTCCCTTTTTGTTTCTCTTGTTTCTGGTAAACTGTATTCTGCTCTGTTGTTGACACTGGCGCTCCTTCGCCCTCAGAGTCGCCATGATGCTAATCGCGCAACAGGTATTATCTCAAGCGGTATCGGGCGTTGAGGAAGCGTTACGTCCCAGATGCGTGATGCGGCGAGCGTCTTGGGATGGGTGTAGGCATAGGTCAATGTTGAGGGCCAATCATTCCCATAGAGTCCAATAAACTGTCGCCGCAAAAACACGAATGCAAAAAAAAAAAAAAAAAAACTCCCTTCTTTTTCCGTCCACCATAACTTCGTCATGCGGTCCTTCATCGCTCCCTCTTGCGTGCCCACCAGGCACCGACCTCCAAACACTCTCCCCAACTCGTACCGTTCTCCCTCATGAGGTCGTTCATCATCTTGCCTAGCCAGCCGTCCCATTCGTCTTGGCTCTTGCCGCTGACCTCGCGCAAGATCGGCTCCAGGCTCTGGATCTGCTGTACGACGGTCATCAAGGCCGTGCGGCGGAGCGCCGCCTGGGCCTCGGTCAACGTCTTCTTCTGCTCGTCCGGTTTGTCTTTGCCCTTGCCCTTGCCAGAGTTGATGAACGACTTGCCGTCCTTGGTCACGACACCGCCGACGCCCTCGCGCTCCCAGCGAACTTCAGAAAGTGGGATCGCCAGGCGCTTGCTTTGTATGTCAGTCAGCTCCTCGGATTCCTGGATGAGCATGGGACCGATGAGAGTGCAAGGCACAGGACTCAGATTGCGGGACTCGAGTGCACGGTGAACCCAACTGTTGTACTCGACGAGGAAGTTGTTCAGCGGCGCGCTCAAAGGGGTCTTTGCCGAAATGGGATACGCGCCGAGCGAGGCGACGGTGGCGGTGTCTTCGGTGTTGCCAGACTGTGGCGCGGCGTGGGGCCGCAACATGCGGATCTGGTGGTCGCTATCCCAGAATTCCACAGTGCCACCGGGGCGAAGAATGCGATGATATTCTTCAATGGCGTTCTGCAGTGCGTGCGGCGACGTCACAACCAGACTCAGATCCTTGACCATGACCAAGTCGAATTCGCCATCGGCAAACGGCCACGGAAAGTTGCGAATGTCGTGCTGCATGAATCGCCATTTCATGTCGCGAGATACGTCCCCCGCATGCTGCCCCATTGGGCCAATGTCCATGCCAGTGAAGTGGATATCTGGGTGGCCTCGTTGCGCGAAATACCGGTGACACGACTGACTCCAGAATCCGGAACCGCAGGCGACTTCGAGGACACGACCAGGCGGCTTGCTAGCAAATGCTGTGGAGCAGATTGGCGAACCAAACAACTGGATGAGCAGCAGTGTGCGCAATGACTGGCGATGGATCTCGCTCAGGTCAACAGGCAAGGGGTATGCTAACGACGGATCTGACAGATATGTGCGGCCATTGCGCAAGCAGTAAGGGCGGGAGGCATCGAACGAGTTTGTCGTGGGGTCGGAGGACGTCATTGTGCGGGTCGACATGGAGGCGGTTGAAGGAGCCGCCGACGAAAGACTGTCGGTACGGGAAAAAGGAATTGCACCGGCCTTGCCGGCAGTGAGATGACGGCCCGATGTGTCCGTGTCGACGAGCATGGCGACATGTTTTAGCTCATTCGGAGTGAGACCGATGTGAGATGGTGTAGGCGGTACAAGCGGGTGTCTCGCGTAGGAGCTTAAGGTGCCGCTTTCCTTGCGAAGGCGCGCCGGCACCCGGATGCGAGTGCGGTCGGCACCAGCGCGTGTCTCTTGTAGCGAGTGGTGATGCTTGTGCTTCTTTGGAGACGCTGGCGAGGTAAGATCGCGCGGGTCGATGGGCGACGCAGTCGAGAGGATCGTTGACGTGGGTGTGAGTGAGGTCTCGTGCGAGGAGCGTGACGCCGAGGACGATGACGATGTGCGGATGTGCTTGAGACGGGTTGCGGGGTGGTGGTGGTGGTGGTGCTGCTGCTGCTGCTGCTGCTGTCCAAAGTGAGAACTGTTTGATGATGGTTGGCGCGACGGTATGCGCGAAGAATCCGCCGGGTTGGCCTTTGAGAAGAAGGACGAAGAAGAGGAAGACGGGGTAGGTGGTGCGACGGCGGCGTGGGCGGCAGCGGGGGGTTTTGTTGATGTTGTTGACAGAGTTGTAGTGGCAGATGCAGGAGTAGTAGTGGTGGTAGTGGTGGTAGTAGTATCTGTAGTTGCAGCACTAGCACCAACCGCCGTGTGTGGTTGTTGTTGTTTGCTCTTGTTTGTCAAGGTTGCAGTCGCAGTCTTTGGCCTGGTCGACTCGATGCGAGAAAGAATGGGAGGGACGGGGGCGAAGCTGGTGTACATGTATTGGGACATGTTTGCAGAATCTTCCGCATCCACGAGTGCTTCGTCAGGAGGAGCGGCGGATTTCTGGGGCCCTTGGGCTTGGGACCCGGTTGTGCGTGTGGTTGTGGCTCTGGTCAGTTGGGTCAGTCGGGTCCTCTCTTCGTGTCTTGGATCCTCATGTCTGCCCTGCCCTCTCTGGGGCCGGGAGGACGACAATGAGACCCAACTCGCAGGTGGGAGCTCCAGCTCCAATGGACGGGGGGGGAGGGGGCAGAGGGGTGGAGGGGGGTTGTTTGGGGATCCGCAAACTGCGTGTGGATTGTGGGAGAGAGATAGAGAGACGAGACTTTTTGGGAGTGGGAGCAGTAGAAAGGAGGCACAGAGACTGAGAGTGAGAGAGTCGGGGTACTCCGTACGAGGTAGGAGGAGGGGATTGGCGGCTGATTGTGCTTGCTTGCTCGTTTGCCTTGCAGCAGCAGCAAGCAGCAGCAGCTTGCTTGCTTTCCTGGGTTTGGGTCTTTGGGGGTGTGTTGAATTCAGTTCGGTTCCATTCCAGTTTCTGTTGCGACCTTGCAGCAGCTGGGGGGGAGATGATGGTGGATGTGATGTACCTGGTGGAAAGGGGGGAAGATCATGGATTGGAGGGGAGGGGGAGGGGTGCGTGAGCGTGTGTATGTGTCTGTCTGTAATTACACTATGAGTGTATCTGTCCGGTGGAGGGGAAGAGAAGCACCCGGGTGGGAAAGGAAGCGGAAGGGAACGGGGGAGGGGGGGGGGGGGGGGGGGGGGGGGAGGGGGGGGGGTGGGGGGTGGGTGGGGGGTGGAGGGGGGGTCGAGGGAGGGCACAGGGGGGGGGGGTGGAGGGCGGGGGGGCGGGAGGGGAGAGGGGGGGGGGGGGGGGGGGGGGGGGGGGGGGGGGGGGGGGGGGGGGGGAGGGGGAGGAGGGAGAAACCAGGAAGGATATGTTTTTCTTTAATTTGGCATCGCCTCAAAGAGTCAATAGAACCGCCATGTACTTACAGAACGGTCGGTATTTTCGAGAGCAAAGAAACCAAGACGGATAGTCCTCGTGGCTCTGGTGGTGGCACAAGCAACACACTATCCATAGACTATTCCGTTACGGATACACTACCCGTGCTCTCTCTTTCTCTCTCTCTCTTTCTCTCCCATGACTCTCGCTCAGTCTTGTTTCTCTCTCTTTGCTCTGTCTGTCTGTCTGTCTGTCTGTACACTTTAGATGCTCCGTAACGATACACCGTAAAGATACTCTCGACATACATAGCAGATGCAGAGTGGCAGACAAAACCAAAAGAACAAGGGTGCATGACTTAGCGTACTGGTCTGTACGTACCTTGCAGCAACACCAGCAGGGAGCCCCGGGGATGGGGTCAAGTACTGTATGTAGGAACAGGCAGGTAAAGTTGAGTTGGGCAAGGTACACACTGACACCCGGCCGCGGCGAGGCCCAGGGGTAGTGGGGGGTGGGGGGAAGAGAAATTGGAAAATGAGGGAAAATGGGAAAATGGAACGTGGGAATGGATAACGGAGATGGATGAGGAAGAGGAAGAGCAAGTCGGATTCTCTTCCGCGGTTCCAACTCCAGTTAAACAGGAAGAAAGAGAAAGAAAGAAAAGTCCGTCAGGATGCAATGTATCCGTACCGATTCAGCATCCAGGAACCAGATGCAGACGGACCAAATAGACGAGCGACTTGCCGCGTTCCTTGGTCCTTGGACATTATTTCTCTGTCTTTCTTAGTGCTCTCATACACACTCTCTCTCTCCCTCTCACACTCTCTCTGGCGCGACTACAAAGCGAAATACAGAGAGCAATGACGATGTGAGAGACAAAGAGAACCAAACTCGGACGTTGCACTAGCGCTTGCGTTGCGTCTGCTTCTTTTCCTTGGCCGTGTTCTTCGTCTTCGTCTGCCCGCTTCACACACACACACACACACACACACACACACACACACACACACACACACACACACACACACACACATACCGGGCGGGAATCATCTAGAGAACAGAAAGAAAAGAGAAAAAAAAAAACAAGATGAGGGGACAAACTCACCACACGCACCACACAAACACCCACGCTGACCAGACGTAACTGGCTGCTGGAGCTTGCTGGGGAACCGAACGGGGTCCACCACAGGTTCGTTTGGCCGCCTTGTACCTTGCAGCAGCACCTTGCGTCGCTCGCTCGCCGTACGGAGGAGTGGGCGAGGTACTTTGGTTGTCTGCAGGTACCACGTCGCAGTCGCTGCCGTCGCAATAACAGGGCGCCCAAGTGTCTCCCGTCCTTGGTCCGTTGCCAATGGAACCAAAGAAAGGGCACAGAGCAGTCAGTGTACAGAACCTATCCTGTTCTGACTGGGCGGCGGTCCTGGCGCTCCCGGCTTCGGTGACGGGAAGGGAAGGGAAGCACTGGACGCTAGTTGGATGCTGCTTACTGGCGGTTGTTAGTTGCTGAATGCTTCTTGGCCTGCTTGCCTTGTCGTCGGCGCGCTCTCGTTGGTTGTCTGCCACTTGTAGAGTGGTGCGCTGCTAGCTAATAACGTGCTAACCAATGCTGATGAGCTAGCACGCACAAGTCCACGAAGGTTTGTACTCCCGCCCGGCGCCGCGTCTCAAGTCGGCCCAGCTTGACAAGACTAGACACCAAGATGGGGTAGCTTCGCAGAGCTAGACCTCGGGCTATCTGATAAGCAAAAGTGCACGAGAACGGGAGCTTGTGTAGGTATGCCGGCACTGTCGCTTTGCTATTCCGTCTGCCTTTTGATTATCGCGCAGGAACAACTCGGAGTTTGGGAGAGGTCTTTGCGCGGCAAACAACCCAGACTCGGGAATGTGGCCAGCCAGCAAGCGAGTAAGCAAGGCGAGGCAGCGCAGGGCAGACGCCGTCGACAGGCCTGTTGGGTATCCGCAACGGCAGGGGAAACCCGTTTGGACGGTACCAACGTTCCCCGGCCAGGGCAATGGAGGTATCCGTAATAGCAAGGGCAATGCCTTTCTCTGGTCTCTAATTGGCCAGTGTCTTTCGTCTACTGTTGTGTGGGATTGTTGTTTGTGACCCCCCGACAAGGTGATCCACGTCGGAGGCTTCACCTCTGCGCCGCGTAGCCTGTGTCGGTGCGCCGTCCGTCTTGCCAATCGCAGTGCCAACCAAGACTAGCCTTCTTCTGCCAGTGTCCGATTCCTCAATAACCCCGATGGATGACGGCACTTTGCACGTATCTGTCTGTGCCTGGGGTCGTTCGATTTGCTTGGTTTGTTGTGGTGGTGTTTGTGCCTGTGTCGTCAAAGTTTCCCACCTGTTTCCCAAGCGGACTCGTCACTATTACTCCACGAATTTCCTCTTCAGCTTGCTAGCTCCGGCCTGACAGGAGCCACTAGGGCGGCAAGACTGGGGTTCGGTGAGAGCAATAACTAACACCAAGCCAGCACTTGAGCAGCTCGAAACTTGGTTTGTTGGTCTACTGTCGCCCACGATGGCGTCAATGTCAAGGACGTAATGGATGGTTTCCCTGCTCTTTTCTCTCACGCTGACCACTCGGCGGCAATCCAGCAGCTGTTGAAGAACGAGTGTGGCTGCTCAAGTGGGCTTTTCCCACCCACCAACTTCCAAGGGGACGAGGCCAGCAAACGCCTCGCTCAGCCCCCGATCCAGCTCGTCGGGACGCCCGGTGCTGTAATTCTCCAACCCAAGCCCACTCAATTGTGTTTCTTTTCCCAGAACTTCTTTGTTCGTGGGGCACTTGGTGCACTTGGCCCAACTCTGGCCTTGCCGTTCTTTTGTTCCAATGTCTCTGTCTCAAACTTCGGCTCTGTGCCGCCGGGTCTGCCTCTTTCGCACTTGAGACTCGATGACGGACTAGTCCAAGGCTTGACAGACAGATGGGAAAGCAAGTCCGACAATAACAGAGTCGGCCGGTCTGTGAAGTCAGTGGCCCTGGTTGATTTGTTGCTTGTCCTTTGCCGTTGACCCTTGCTGCGGTAAGCCAAGGATCTGAGAGACGCCTGCAAGTGCCAAAACCCCTTACTACGAGGAGCAGAACGGTGAAGGGGCTCAAGAGAGGGCACCGGTAACCAGGCCCCCGGTAGAGTGCAGTCAATCTATCGTATCCGTACGGTTGGCAGAAGACTGAAAGCTGAATGAGGGCGTGAACCTTGAATTTTCAAGCCAAGGTGATTTCTGACCGGCGAGGACGTGCGGGCCCTCGGTGACCAGCAAGACGAAAAAAACAAGACGCTAGCCCCTGTTTTTTGACGTTTGGGTGCTTTGTGTCGAGTGTTGATCCTCTTGGTAATGGAGTGGACCGGGCCGCGCTGATTTCGGGTAGGTAATGGAGACTTGCTGGATAATCGCTCCTCTTTGTTCGAGTGTGTGCCCTTAGTCAGGCTATGTCTGGTAATCACGTATCCGTACTCCTTACGAGTAGAGTACGCAAAAACGGTACTTGGTAGGTATCAAAATCGTGGTGGCCACAGTTTGCGTCACTAGAATATGGCTGTTGCTGCCCGCTTCGCCGAGGATTCGGCGATTTGGCCCAAATATCTCGACAGTGTCCCGGCCGGATAGAGGATACCTCGTCCTGTTGGAGGAGCTCAGAAGGCACGCAAGAGTCAAGTACGCCGGAGCTTGCCCCGTCCTTCTAGAACCTGGACCAGGTTCTTTCTGAAATCTTGAGACGGCGGGATACCGGCCGCTTGTTCCCCGGTGGGGACGGGACTGGGGTCGCTGGAATGACGGATAACTGACGGGCCCTGGTTGGCTGGCTTGGATTTGCGCTTGAGTTGGATGGGAAATCGACCGAGCTGAACAAGAGTCGTGTTTGCCTCGTTGTCGCCTTGCCCCAAGGACCAACGCAGTGGCCGTTATTGGAAGAGAGGGCCAATGACCGCTGAAGGACGCGATAGGACAATGCTGGTGGAATTAGATGTTGTGTCGCCTCGTTTCCGTCCGTTTGTTGTGAAGCTTCCGGCCGGTCTTTCCTCGCGGTAAGTCCAGCAGAGGGTGCCCGTACGGTCAAGGTCCGGGCCCTTGTCTGAGCGACTGTAATGAGCCGGATCCCTTGTTTGGTGTTCCGTCGCTTCGCCCCGTCTCGCCTCGTCTCGGTTCCCGCAGACAAATGTCACCGAGGGGATAGATGGATCAAATTTCACCGCGGCGTCTTGTCGGCGATGGCCTGTGTTGGTTACGTACGTATATCGAATCCTGTCGAATGGCTGCAAGGTCTATTTTGCCGTGCCGCCTGTCTTGTTTCGTCCCGTTCCGTGCGTGCAAGCTGACTCTGTCACTTGTGATTTGCGTAGCCACTGACTGGTGTTGTTTCCAGCTGGCAGTGCCACCCCGTGGCCCGTTGCTGATCCGAACTGGTCAGTGGTGTGCGCTTCTTCGTCGCGTGCCACAACGACGGAACGGTGCTATTATAAGACGACGGGCGATTGGTGATGACTAGCTGGGAGTCTGAGTCTGGCCAAGGGATCAAAAGCAGAATCTCGTGCTTGTCGGAGATAATGACGTTCCCCTCGATATGTCTTCTGGGGGAGAGTTCTAGAGCGTGGGGGGACCTTCCCTTCGTAGCCAGCTGGGCGATTTGTCTGCAGCAGATTGCTAGATTCCGCAGCAGCTGTCAATGGTGCGGTGCAGGCTGTCTGTCGCGTGTTGTTGCGTCCTGCCTATTGGGGTGCAGTGCCGATAGCGTAACGTGGTAGTGGGTGCGGCCTCGTTGCAACTTGTCCCCGTCCCGGTCGGTGGATTCCGCCCAGCACCGGCAACAGAATCCTCTGAACCTTCTTTTGCAGAATAGGTGTCTGGCGAGAAGATCGGCGGTTCAGAGGGAGAAACGAAGCAACGTGAATGAATTGTGACGAATGTTTCCGCTGGGTTTCCAGGCAGATTCTCCCCTTTGGGCTCACAAGCCTCCCGAACATGTACTGGGGGTTTGGTATGAAGGCAGGGCCAAGCTAGTTCAGGTCGATCGGGGCTTCTCCGAGAGTGCAGAGTCAAATTCGATGGGCGAATACTCGCACAGATGGCAAGTAATACTCCGTACGGAGGGGTAGGTTGCCAGCGTCGAGGCAGAATGATTGACTCAATTGAGTATCCGTATAGAGTCGCAGCCGTTGGGCCGTAGCGCTAATCCGCAGCTTGATGCCTGGTGTAATTGGGATCGCTGTCGTTCATCCGCAAAAGAAGATCAAACGAATTATGGATACCCGGTCGAGCGGTAGAGTCAGATCGTCGCCGTGTCTCAATTATCACATGAATGATGAAGACACTATCCCGACTGCCAGACTCCCAAGGCGGTGGGTGACGAAGACTGAGGACGGAAGTTTGCCCGTGTATTCGGAGGCTGTACGAAAAGAGCCAAGCAAGTAAATCAAATGCCGCGTCTGTTGCTCCAAATGGGATGGGTTGCCAAAGTCGGAGGATGGTATCTTCAGCGGCGGGTGAGCGATTTCGGCGCCCGAGACAGCATGCAGCCGCAGTGCAGAAGCCAGAACCCCAGGAATCGGAGTCTAGGTACCGGCAGCTGTGCCTGATTCGCTGGATGGCCGGTCGAGGTGAGGGAATTGCGCACACCGCGACTTTCGACTTTTAGCTTGGTTGCGAAGCCGAGAGAGGGGTTGGTGAATGTGCCGTTTCTCTCCCGCGAAATGTTCAAGAGACAGCCTTTGGATGATGTGAGGTTGAAATGACGAAGTTGCAGCTTGGAAACACATCGAAGCTTTGCCGTCCAAAGTGTCAGGGGCGCAGCGCAGGTACACAATGCCTGAAGCGTGGAAAGTGCAGGTCCAGCAGGTCTTTCCTCCGTCAACTCGGGGGCTCCTGCCAAGAATCGCCGTGTTAGTTGCCGTGTTCAAATGGGCAGGAAGCACCTGTCGGATGGAAGTTGCGACTCACCAGATTACCTAAGACAGGCAATATGCTTTCAACCCAAGGTTCTGTTCCTCCTGGTTGGATTGACTTCTTCTTCTTCTTCTTCTTCTTCTTCTTCTTCTTTCTCAAGACACCAAGTCTTGTCGTCTGATGAGATCCAGCAGCAGTCGCTGACCGACAGATGCAAGTCTGGCGTTTGTATGGTGCACTCATGGAGAGAAGAGCTGACAGGTTATCTATATAATACAACCTAAACCGGGCAAACGGCACACGATCCATCCAATTCCTCAAGCAGAGTACCTAGCAGACCCAGCAGATCAAATTCCCCCGATATCCGAAAAAAGGAAGCTCCAAGTCAAAGGCCCGGAGCAAGCCTATCAATCGGGGACCTCGATGATTCGTCTCTCCGCCGTGGTCCCGTGGCCATGTCCGATGCCGACATGACATACGTAGTAGAGGGGGGAGGGGCTCAGAAGTTGCGAACTTGCCCGCACATATTTGCACTTGCAGCTGCATGTTGCATATTGCATATTGCAAGGGCCCTTTCCTCTGCTCCCAGCTCCGTACGCGCCCGCCACCAATTCCCAATTCGGGCCTTGGCCGCCGTTCGGCACTGCCAGCCTGGTTTTATAGCAACTCTTTCATTCCGATCATTCGTGTGCAGGCTTTGCAGCAGCCAATCTTTCAAAGTCTGGGATAGGCAGCCGTTGGCCTCGACCCGGAGCTTTGCCCATTATCTGGGTATTGCGTGCCGTTGAGGACGCGTATGGGCGGAAGTGACAAGTGGGATACCGACTGTACTGCATGTCTGGCACCATGGCATGTGCTTCGTTGCCGTTTCGGTCTATGAGATGTTGGGATGAACACCAACGAGGGGCTACAAGAACTCCCACCCTTGGTCTATCAACTTCAACCCATGCTGACTTTGGTCTTTCAGCGGTCTTGCCCCGTATCTGTGAACTCCTTCGAATTTGAGAATGTCGCGATAACTCAGATAAGACGTTGTGGAGTCTAGAATGGCGTCAGAAGAGAACAAGGCCAAGATAACGAAACCGACCCGGACCGCACTTCCCCCGCATCCCATCGACCCTGGTCACTGAGTGGCTGGCTAAGATATTCGACAACACTCAGCATGGACTAGTAAGCCCTCAGTGGCCATGTTCGAGACGGCTGACGAGGGCAAGGCGCTGAAGGCAGAAGGTATCCCATCCTGGTCGTCGAGTCTAGGCGTGTCCATGAGTCGCCAGCTGGTCTGAGCCGAGGCTCATGGGAACCAGCTCTCTCGCCACTATCTTCGCGCTTTCAGTCTCCGTCTGTCGCATTTTGAGAATGACAAGGTCGACTGGCCGCCGTCGAACATGGACAGGCGATCAAGGTCCAGAGCTTACCACCATTGAGATGAGCATCTAGCTTGTTATATCCGGTATCTGGCCGCTTTCCCCGGGCAGTTGTCCCGACTTTCCGGTTTGCCTCCGCGGCCGCTTTTCAAGGACCTGT